TATGTGCGGTGGATTTTATTGAAAATAAACCAAGTACATGTAATGTTTTTTAAACGTCTCACCTGTGACCTAAAAGTGTTTAAGCACATCATCACCTGCGTATTTAAAGCTTGCCAAGCCGTTTCAAAACTTACAATGTCGTAACAGTTATATTTTCGCAAAGCAGCTTCTTTTTTTCGGATTGATCCTCTTTTCCTTAAATTGTTAATCTACTTGAGAATTGTATTTTGGGTGGAAATTATATTATGATGTCTAAGATGAAAGAGACTAAAAAGGCTGCCATGATAGGCACAACATTTTGCACATACTTATAGTAAGAAAACATATAGTGTTTACTGTCTAAATCTCCATGACTGGGGAGCGCAAAAAGCCCATCAGAATCAATCAATCAATCTCTATGAATAGTCAATGAATAGTCATTTATTCCATCTCTAAACAATACAATATTGTAATTGATTTCGTCAAAAAATCCTTAAACTAATACACAAAATTATCACAGTAGCTATAAATTATATCACAGATTGAGATTATGTCTCAGAACACTTATATAAAATGTCAGGGTACTTTCCAGTGCTATTGTCTTATTATTGTGTATTGCCTTGATCCAGAAAACCCATTAATATTAAGCCTTTGTTAATTTTTCATTCTATGTACATTTTTATAAATATATTATATTTTTGGGTTTTGAATGAATTGTACACACTCTTAGTACCTACAGCATTTCAGCAAAACACATGAACTGTATAGGTTATTAAAAAATGTAGCCTATGTATTGTAGATTTATAAAATATTTTTACTGTATATATTTAATGAAAATGAAAGATTGATTAATGTATTCAATCCACATGAAATATTGAATTAGGATAAACCTACAATATTAATTACATGTCTCACATACAACATAAACAAACTGTTGTATTTATTTTTTGTTTGTTTGTTAATTTGTATACGACTAGAGAAAATTAAAGGTATTAACTGATTTGAGTGTTTGACTTCATTTAAGTACTGTACTTGATCTTTAATCTACCTATCTATTGATAACGAGAGGTCGTCCAGTGGTCGAAACTCGACCAAAAATGTCCAATGTACTGTACTCACTTATCTATTTTTACCCTACACTGTAAATAAAACATGTGATTGGAGTTTCTTCCATTTGTTTTGATTTTCTGTTTATATTTCGTTGTTATTTCGTCACCATGGCAACGCATAAGATCCATGTTAATTTTTTTCAAATTTTTAAACTCATTTTTCGTGCTTATCTTTGAGCCTATTTAAATTTATAAAGGGATTCTGCACACCTAGAGGAAAATAGCTTTCTAACGGTATGCGTAGATTTCACCTACGATGCACACGAGCTGAGAAAAAAGGTTTTAAAGAAACATGCTTGCCTATTAATATATAGATAGATTCCTCTTCCTAACCGCAAGCAATTCACATAATGATTTTTACTAGAGGTCGTCGAAAACTCCACCAAAAATATTTCAAATAGTGCACCTTTTGCTCGAATTCGAGCAATTGCAAAGTATTACAGATGTTATTTCAAAACGAATTACAATCATAATTTCCGATGACTTAAAAGAGTCAACTCAAAGATAATGTAATCAATCACTCCATTCCAGTAATCAAAACTGAAAACGAATGCTCTTGTGTGTATCAAAAGGTGCCGTGTGTTTACTATGAACAGCTGTTTTATTATCCAATTAAAACAAAATTATTCATCTAATTTAACAAAATCCTTTTTTCATGGGCCATCAAAATCGGGCTGTATTGTCAGCCCGAGAACTTTTATTACAGGAATTGGTGAATGGGGACTACACAAAAAAAAGACACATTGTTTGTAAATATACGTTCATTATGAACAGAAGAGTAGTGTTTTGTAGAAATCTCCTTCACTTATTATATAAGGATTCTATAGAAAATGTATGCTTATCTCAACAATGGTAGGAAATAGTACAAATAATACATGAGATACGTTTTATTGTATTGCACTATTGTTTAATGGCAGACTTGACATGACCACTCATATTCTGTACAAAAATAAGACAAATTAAATAATTATTTGGGAGCGGAGGGCAGTCTAGAAAGTAACAGACGTTTAGTGTACTTGAGACGGTGCTAACACCAATATTTTAGTATCAGAGCGTTCATACACTAAGCACACATGCAGTTATGGGAGCATGCACATAATATCTCTCGTACTTTGTCTGCAATGTAGTGTCAAAATGATTGATGTCATTGCAATGTCCCGTGATTTGTAGGTGGACTGTACAGATTTTTGTTTGCAAAATTTGTTTGCCAGTTGGAAATTATTGCAGATTTGGGTTTTTTTGGCAAAGAAATAATGAGTAAAGGTGAAGGTTTCCACTTTTGTCGTAGTATTCCAAGATCCAGGTTATGTTAGTTGTATCGCACAAGAAATGAGGCTAGATTGACTTTTGTAAGCTTGGTGTGATTGATAAGTTTGTAAATATCTATATAATTAATACGCTACATGAAACTTTGTTGGTTAAACTCCTACGCAATGGTGAAGAAATGTTTGGTTAAGAAATGTCTCAACCGATTTTATCCATTGACGTCTCATTGGAAAGAGCGTGTTGCGTAGATTTGCAAACTGACCTTACATTTTTGAAAAAGTCCCTTGGGCTCTGCCCCAGTAGCTTTGAAAGTTCCCATGTTATCCTTATGAATAACATAATTGTTTACATTTTGATCAGCTGTATAATTTAATTGCTGTTATTTATTTTTCAATTCAACAAAACGCATTGGGTACATTTACTGATTTTGTAGAAATTAAATATTTACTACTTTAATTTACATTCGTACATATTACAATGTAAAAAATCGAGAAAGCCTAGGCAATTTGATATATTTTACCAAAAAAGAAAAATGAATTGACATAGTACTGTATTTCTTGAGCAATCACTGAAAGAACCGATTTTTTAACCATGGAGACATAGAAAAGTCATAGAATGCCACCAAGTATAAGAATAATAGAGATAAAAAAAAAATTTACTAACGTTATCATCCTATATAATGAAGAACACCTACAGCTACAATATGAAGAGTCCCACAAACAATGAACAAGGATGTTAGCCGAAGTACTACTATTTTGTGGACTTAACTTTATGATGATTGTCAAAGGAAACCCCTCTAAGTCTGAATCTGAACTGGTTCGGCAAGGACATTAATCATTAAATATATGTTTTCATAAAATTCAAGTGATTTTAAAAGAATGTGACTACATCCAAGAAACCTTAATAAAACTTTCATTGAAGGATTCACATTATTCACAGTATTATTCACATTTATGCCTAAGGGAAACAAAAAACAATCTGAACGACATTCGGCCTTTCAATTCTGCATTTTTTGAGGTAAATATAATTTACGACATAACAGTAACAAGCCAAATTAATGCCAATTGATGTAAATAAAATTGCGACAGAGAGGTTATGCAGAAAATCAGGTAGTTCTTAGTCATGTAAACAATATGTTATCGCTAAAAAAAATATACTGAAATTTGTAAACGTACTGGCGACAATGGGCGGTACCATGCAGACTACATTATCATTGACAAAGGAGTTGAGTCCTTTAAACTCATCGGAAATTATGATGACTGTTATTTGTTTTAAATAACTACTTTACTTCTTTGCAAATGCTCGATTTCGAGCAACGTGTACACTAGTCATACATTAATCATGTTATCATCACTTCAATAAATTGTTGGTACCTGCTATAACTATACTGCTTTCACAAAATTTAGGCGGTTATTGGGGAAGAAATCTACCCCCCCTTATAACCTTATCAAAAATCAAAACCTTCCTATAAGATAATGAGCTCAACAGTTGAGCTATACAAAAACAAAGCATAAATCAGAATGAGCCATATACATATTAAACAAAAAAAGGTCTGGGAACTTCCCCTCAAACCGCCTAAATGCTGTGAACGGAGTATAAGAGGTGATCATTTTTAACCAAATTGTTGCTCAAATCCTCGACTTGTATTACCTGATCGAATTTTGCAAAAGACCTGATATAGGAAAATATACTTAAAGAGGTTCCTTGATCAATTATTGATCTTGATTCAAGATTAATATTTTATGGACACCCGGTACCATACTGTACTTATTTAGATTATATAAATTTTAATTGCTTTGATGATTCTAAATTTGAACAAAGAATTACCTAAATGTTTACAACAACTGTATATATTTAATAAATTATGGTCTTTTTCAGAATAGGCAAAAGATTTGAAGAGAAAAAGGAACTTCAATTCATATCACAAGAAGGATAATTTACAGAATAAGATGTAATACTTTAAACAGCAGCTAAAAACATTTAATTTTTACTACACAAAATTTGCGGATTAAAGTAAGTGATTTACTATGTAAATCTTTAATTTAAATTATTCATAACTTTTATATGGCTGATGCAACATTGTTTGAAAGCAACATGGTGGAGACAAGGATTTCTTAAGTAGGCTAATTTAACTGGATGAAACATAGAGTTAAGACATAAAAGCAAAATGCCTCAAGTAAACTGTGTGGTAAAATATTTAATACACATAACAATCTTTGAGCAAGAGCTGATCACATTTTATTAATACACTAATTAACTGTTCAACATCTAACCAATTCTACAAAAATAGACATATAAAACCAGCAGAATAATTCAGAGTAGTATCATCTTGCCTGATGTTAGAAATCGGAAATATAAAACATAAAATGTTTAATATCACTAAAAAGCGTCTCCTTAACTGTCCAATATGTAGAAAAATGTTTTCAACTATAAGGAGTATGAAGTATCATATATATTTACACACAGGCGAGCGTCCCTTTAGATGTTTGACATGTGAGAAAACATTTAATCAAATATCTCATCTAAAGTATCATTTGTTTACACATTCTGGGATGTGTCCTTACAAGTGCACTACATGTGGAAAATCTTTCAAAACCAGCAGCCTTTTGAAGATACATGCATTGGTTCACACGGGAGATCGACCTCATCAGTGCCCTACATGTGGAAAATCATTCAAATCCAAGGGAGATATGAATAAACATACTTTGGTTCACACGGGAGAGCGACCTCACAAGTGCACTACATGTGGAAAATCATTCAAATTCAAGCAAGATATGAAGAAACATACTTTGGTTCACACAGGAGAGCGACCTCACAAGTGCACTACATGTGGAAAATCATTCAAATTCAAGCAAGATATGAAGAAACATACTTTGGTTCACACGGGAGAGCGACCTCACAAGTGCACTACATGTGGAAAATCCTTCTCAACCAGCAGCTATATGAAGAGACATACATTGGTTCACACAGGAAATGGACCCCATAAGTGCACTACATGTGGAAAATCCTTCTCAACCAGCAGCTATATGAAGCTTCATTTATTGGTTCACACAGGAGAACGACCTCATGAGTGCACTACATGTGGAAAATCCTTCCAAACCAGCAAAAATATGAAGAGACATACATTGGATCACACAGGAAATAGACCCCATAAGTGCACTACATGTGGAAAATCCTTCTCAACCAGCAGCAATATGAAGCTTCATTTATTGGTTCACACAGGAGAGCGACCTCATAAGTGCACAACATGTGGAAAATCCTTCCGAAACAGCAGCAATATGAAGAAACATACATTGGTTCACACGGGAGAGCGACCTCTTCAGTGCACAACATGTGGGAAATCATTCAAAAACAAGGGAGTTATGAAGAATCATACTTTGGTTCACACAGGAGAGCGGCCTCATCAGTGCCCTACATGTGGAAAATCATTCAAATCCAAGGAATATATGAAGAAACATACTTTGGTTCACACGGGAGAGCGGCCTCATCAGTGCACAACATGTGGGAAATCATTTAAAAACAAGGGAGTTATGAAGAATCATACTTTGGTTCACACAGGAGAGCGGCCTCATCAGTGCCCTACATGTGGAAAATCATTCAAATCCAAGGAATATATGAAGAAACATACTTTGGTTCACACGGGAGAGCGGCCTCATCAGTGCCCTACATGTGGAAAATCATTCAAATCCAAGGAATATATGAAGAGACATACATTGGTTCACAAAGGAGAGTGACCTCATTAGTGCCCTAGATGTCGAAAATCATTCAAATCCAGGGAATATATGAAAAAACATACATTGGTTCACACAGGAGAGCGGCCTCATCAGTACCCTTCATGTGGAAAATCATTCAAATCCAAGGAATATATGAAGAAACATACATTTGTTTACACGGGAGAGTGACCTCATCAGTGCCCTACATGTGGAAAATTATTCATATCCATGGGTGATATGAAGAAACATACATTGGTTCACACGGGAGAGCGACCTCATCAGTGCCCTACATGTGGAAAATCATTCAAATCCAAGGAAGATGTAAAGAGACATAAATTGGTTCACACGAGAGAGCGACCTCACAAGTGGAAAATCCTTCCAGCCAGCAGTCATATGAAAAGACTTATGAATAATTAATTCACACTGGAGAGACCTTATAATTGCACCACATCTGGAAGATTCATCACATACAGTTGTAATGTGTTCAAATTCAAATACCGTATATTTATTTAGGATATTACAAGCATGGCCTCGCGAAGTTTACAAAACTTGTCGCGAAGTTTACAAAACTTGTCGGCAAGGACCAATAGATTCAAAAACAGTTTACAGATTTTTCTCTTTTTTCTTTAGTTTTGTTTTCTAAGTACAAAGAATTATGAAAACTAGTTCACAGGTGGTTTGTGGCAGGCACCTATTAATAGCAAGAGTGTTTGTGTTTTGGCAGCTAAACTTAATTCTAAAAGCGTTAAAAAGAAGTGTAACGTATAGGGATAGACGGGTCCCGAAATTTTGGGAAATTTTCGGGAAAAAAATATTACCGATATTTGGGACGGGATTACATTTAATTCGGGAATTTTTCGGGACGGGATTTGGTCCGATCGTCGGCGATTATGCTGCTTCGCGAGCGACGATAACGCCGCTATCGCGAGAGATGTTCCGCGAACGCAGGAGGCGAAGTCCACGACCACGGAGTCATACCGACGATCCCGCCGAAACCGCGAGTCATACCGACGATCGCACCGTGACCGCGAAGTCATACCGACGATCGCGACGTGACCGCGGAGTCATACCGACGATCGCGACGTGACCGCGGAGTCATACCGACGATCGCGACGTGACCGCGGAGTCATACCGACGATCCCGCCGATACCGCGAGTCATACCGACAACCGTCCCGTGACCGCAGAGTCATACCGACGATCCCGCCGATACCGCGAGTCATACCGACAACCGTCCCGTGACCGCAGAGTCATACCGACGATCACCCCGTGACCGCGAAGTCATGCAGTCGATCGCGACGTGACCGCGGAGTCATACCGACGATCCCGCCGAAACCGCGAGTCACACCGACAACCGTCCCGTGACCGCAGAGTCATACCGTTGATCACCCCGTGACCGCGAAGTCATACCGACGATCGCGACGTGACCGCGGAGTCATACTGACGATCCCGCCGATACCGCGAGTCATACCGACAACCGTCCCGTGACCGCACAGTCATACCGACGATCACCCCGTGACCGCACAGTCATACCGACGATCACCCCGTGACCGCGGAGTCATACCGATGATCGTGCCGTGACCGCAGTCATACCGACGATCATGCCGTGATCGCGAGTCATACTGACGATCACCCCGTGACCACGGAGTCATACCGACGATCACCCCGTGACCGCGGAGTCATACCGATGATCGTGCCGAGACCACGGAGTCATACCGACGATCGCACCGTGACAGCGAGTCACAAGTTTCTATAGGTACCTGTAAATTGTTGTAACCAAACCATTTTTTTGTTTTTATAGATCAGTGCCAAAAACGGTAAAAATTGATTTTGTTTGTCTTTTTTGGTAACTGCAATACTCAAGACTTTCTTTTTATCCACAGGAAAAAAATCCCGTCCCGTCTCTTCCTGAAAATTGGGAAGGAAATAAAAATCCCGTCCCGCCCCGTCCCGAACTAAAAATTCAATCCCGTCCATCCCTAGTAACGTATAAACAATAACAAATAAAAGGTAGGAGTGAAAGCTCATGTTATTTCATACATTAATTTATTATGTGTTCATTCATTTCAAATCAAATCTTTTGTGTTAATTCTCTTAAATTCTCGTGTTAAGAAAATGGAAAACGTCTCAGCATATTACAGCCACTAAAAATATTTCTGCCACTTTCTGGTTAATGGCGCCCTTAAAGATCCATCAGATTTCGGGGTTCCATAAGAAACACGTCACAAAAATGCACACATGCACATATCTCGTGACATTTGGGCTAGAGAGTATTGTGGAAATGCGAAATAACCTTCCTAGGAACCTAATACACATCACATCCATTGAATCCTAATCATTATTTGTATCAATTGTCAATGGGTAGTATGTGTGGTGGATCTTATTGTAAATAAACCAAGCTATTGTTAAACAACGAACCAAACGTCTCACCTGTGACCTAAAAGTGTTTAAGCACTATGATAAAATTTCAGGTTGAGAGACAAAATTAGATTTTAAAATAGTAATACTCGTCTCACCTCAAATTAGGTCACACCTTACATTTTTCCAGATAGCTCAGCCTACAATGAGATAGTCCAGGGTTCTAATATTCAAAGCTTGTCAAGCCATTTAATAAATAGCCTACAACATAGTAGCAGTATTTTTTTGCCAAGCAGCTTTTTTTTCGGATTGATTTTCAGTTTGACCCCCCTCAAAATAGGCTTATTACAAATTGTTATTTACTTGAGAATTGTATTTCGGCCAGAAATTATATCACAGCGTCAAAGATGAAAGAGACTAGAGACTTGATAGGCACAACATTTCTAATACTTATAGTTCACAAACGTATGGTTTTTACCGTTTATAATGCTCCATAGCTAATAAAATTGCATAATATACGACATTGAATGACACCCCTCCCTACTCGCAACAATAACTACAATAACTATGGTGCATATACCGTACTATCAGCTAAAACAATGTTTGATTCCTCGGTCACTCTTTACAATGCTTAGCTGTATCCAGGACTGTTTATTTTTGTTTATATATAAATATTCTATAGGGGTTTTCAATGTATCCTACATATTATAATTGAAACTGAACACTCAAATAAGATGTCAAGGTACTTTTCTTAGCTACTATCATTGACTATTGGATACAGAAGTATGGTTGTATTAATAGTCAAAGCTACCATCTTATTGTGTTTTGCATGGATACAGAAAACCCACTAATGTCAAGATTTTGTTGATTTTTCCATTTTGTGTACATTTTTATGAATATATTACATTATTTTTGGGTGGTGAATTAATTGTACCTACTTTTAGTACGGTAACTAGACTGGCTTTTAAGGCATTTCAGTAAAACTCATCAACTGTAGGCCTACAGGTTAATAAAACAATTGTATTTAGTGTAGATTTTTTAAATATTTGTAATGTACTATATTATACAGAGGGGTGCAAAAGTAGGTATACAGTAATTAAATATGTTAAAGAATAAGTAGGTTTATTTCTACAAAAACTAAACTTTTACAATCTATTTTAAGAGCGTTAAGAAACAGAAATTAACTCTTAAAAGTGTTGTACTTCACCAATACACTTACTTCCTTTTGTGTTCAAATTGTTTGCCTTCACAGTCAACACACTGCTGTAACCTTGAAGTTACGCTTAAACGCACTTTCGTTGATCGTTGGTCATGTAACCAGCCATGATGACAGAAGTGTAATAATAACAACAGTAACAATGAGAAAACATTGCCAGCTGTTAGTAGCAAACGTATTACACAGCTAATCAGGTGGCTAACTTGGGTATTACCAACCAACTAAAACTGTATACCTACTTTTGCACCCCTCTGTATTTTTAATGAAAATGATAGGTTGATTAATGTACTGAATCCATGCGAAATCTTGATAACCTTGGTGGATAAACCTACAATATTAATTATTACATGCATCATATAATCACATAAACATGTTAATTTTTGTGCTACTAGTAAAAATTAAAATGTACAAACTGCTTCAGTGTTTTACTTCATTTAAGTATTGTATTTGAACCTAAATCTACATACCAAACCAAGTGATAATTTTCTCTTCTTAACCGCACACCATTCTCCCAATAATCTTTATTCCATAGAAAATATATGCTTAGCTCAACAAAGGCAGGGAATAGTACAAATGATACATGAGATAAGTTTTATTGAATTGCGCTATTGTGTAATTGCAGACTTGACAATACCACTTGTATTCTGTACAAAATAAAGGCAAATTAAATAATTATGTGGGAGAAGGAGGGCAGTTCACAAAAGAAACAGACGCTCAGCATTGGCGCTGCTTGGGACAGTGCTAACACCCCTATTTTATTATTAGTTCTAAACTTCTAACTTATCATACATTTAGTAAGCATCCAGCTATGGGAGCATGCACATAATATCTCTCGTATTTTCACTACTTTGTCTGCAATGGTGTGTAAAAATTATTGATTTCATTGCACTGTCGATCCGGCGATTTGTTAGGTAGACTCAGTTATTGGAGTTGGAGTTGGTTAGGTATTGTTATTGGAAAGAATTTTACTTGTTGAAAATTATTCCCAGTATTGGGATTTTTACGGGAAAGGAATCAAAAATTTCAAGATCAGTGTTCTGTATGGGTGAAGGTTTTTACTTTTGTCATAACATTCCAAGATCCAGGTAAGGTTAGTTGTATGGCACAGGAAGTGAGGATATATCGAGGTTTGTAAGCTTGGCATGATTGATAAGCTTGTGTACATCATACATTAGTAGTTATCATCGCTTCAATATTGTTGGTACCTGATAAAACTTGAAGGTGATCTTTTTTACCTAATCTTTTAAATTAAATTAACAAATTCTTTATTCAGACAAACTTGGGGCCACATGGCCCTTTCCTACACTTAACCTGAAACCGGACTAACATAACATTTGCTCAAATTCTAGACTTCTTGTCTTACCTGGTCGAATGGATCCGCTTTGAATTTGGCTCCAGATCGAACATGAGAAAAAACATTTAAGGTTTTTTCTTGATCAATTGATGAGCTTTTATTTCAATCACGGAAGTCCTGGAAAAGTAACAGATTTTTATTTAAGGGCCCAAAAAAATTGTTACTAAAAGGGGGTTTGCATCTTGCTGCAGGTAATGATGACAATGCAGAAACAGTGAAAGTAACATATTTTGGGAGCAGCCAACCAGCTCAAAACAAAGTCAAA